GACAACTTTTAAAAGCTTTGGCACGCCTACCATGTAAGCAATCGACTTTAGTATAAATTCAATACATATGTTGAACAGTAGCAAAGAGATGCTTTATAAAACTTGTATCTATCTAGAGCGGTGATGGTCGCTGCCTTGCCCGCGGGCAAAGCTCTTTTGAGCTTTCTATACAATTTGTATAGGCGCGGGCTGAGTAAAAGCTCTCTCTGCCCGTCGGTGATCTAGAGAAGCTTTTTAAAGCCTTCCTTAAATATTATTTGAAAGTGCGTGGAGTAAAAGCTCGCTCTGTTCCTCATTGGTTAAGATCAAATAACATATTAATTAAAGAAAGCTCGGCACTCAAAAGCATGAAGTGGCCAACTCAGATTTTATGCGATTGTGAGGCAAAAATATTAAAAACAAAAGTTTTCGTTGGGCGCGGAAAAAACCTATAAAAATTAAAATTGTAGCTATCAACAGCACGCAGTAACCGTTAAAACGAAGCAGTGATAAACAGTAGGTACTATGAAGTAGTATGTAAAGGAAACTGCCCAAAATTTCGTTTAAGGTCGACCAATTCGAAATGATAAACAAAATTTTTTTAACACATTTTTTGATCTGAAAGTATTTTTGTTTAAAAAAATTTTTTATGAATAAACGAATTTTGACAAAAAATTTTGTAGTTGCAAAATTTAAAACAAATACCTTGATTCTTGCAACGGTAAGCATTTTTTTATAGAAAGTTGCACATTTTAGTGACCCAAAGAAGTGTAGAGTTTTAAAATTTTAAAATTTTATTGCAAGACATCGTACTTCTGCTGGCTTGAGTGTTTTTTTTTTTTTAAACTAAAATTTTTTTTTTTTGAAATTTTTTTTTTTTGCAAAAAATATTTTTTAAAAAAAAAAAAAATCCAAAAAGAGTTGAATTTCAAAATAGACGAATATTGTGGTTTCGTGATTAAAGTCACGGAAAATTTTTGAAAAATTATATATGACGCGTGAATTCATACCAAGCTTGGTATGCCTTATCAAGGAAACCGTGTAATAATTACGCTTTAAAAAGAATTTGAAAAGCGACAAATATTAACACTTGCAAAATATATCCGTTTGCAAAAGTGTAAAATTTCAAAATTGTGAAAGAAAAACGAAAAATTATTATTTTTTATATGCTAACAACAACAAGCATGGCTAAATTATAAAAACAACTCTAAATTCACTTTGACAAAAAAAGTGTAGAGTTTCAAAACAGCAGGAAATGGCAGCTGCAATGCTACCATAGTTCAGTAAGATGCAGCTGCGTTATCCACCGTCTTTTGTAGTTACAAATGTTTTTTACAGATTTGAAAAAGTGTAGAGTTTCGAATTCAACGAAAACAATAGTTCCTAACAATTGCACAGAACCATGCAATTAAACTCTTAGCTCAACGCTGTACATCAACTAAAACACACTTTAACCTTTTATAGATTCGCAGCAGCGTTGCCATACTACAAGAGAATAATTTTTTACAGCTGCTTCCTAATATTCAATACTGCTGCTAAAAATTACTATTTCAAAAATACTTTAGATTTTTTTTTTTTTTGTGTGAACTGTGCTTACCACCTTTAGTATAGATTTTATTTCGCCTTTTCATAGCGGTCTTGCTCTACTGTAAATATTTAAATATTAATATGAATGATTTCGTTAATACGCGCGCGTGTGTATGTATGTGTTTTTGAGTGGACATGTCAAAGTGAGCTGTTTGCAATTAATTTTAGCTGAGCTATTTTTCAGTGTTCATTAAACCCTTACATATTTTTTTTTACTAATTCAGCATTAAAATATCTTATTTTTTAATTAAATTAGTCTATTGCTCGCTACTTTTTTCTTGCTTTTATTTAATTTATAAAAGATTTACTTAAAATTATGATTTTTCGCTACATGCTTACACGCTCGTGTACTACAAATGCTTGTTTACAATGCGCTGGTTGTGGAGTTCAATGGCGTTGCCACGTGGGAAAATTGTTACGTGATTTTCTTTTTTTGGTTTTTCGATTTAACCTATTTATATTTGTTTTTTTTTCGTTATTATTCAAAAAGCATAATTAACTTAGTGCTTAAGCCTATCTATAGTTAAAATCAGACCACAAAAAAAAACGTTTTTAAATTTTGTAAAAAGTTTTAAACATTAAGTGAAGCTGAATATGCTAAAAATATAAATTTAAAAAAAGTTAAAATTAAAATTAAAATTAATATTAAACATTTTTTTTTTGTTTTTTATTATAACTTTTTTTTTTTTAATCACAAATCATTGATGAAAACACACAAATCTAGCGCAGCTTTTGTTTCGCCGTTATCGTATGCTTCATTTGCTGACTTCTCTTAAACCCCAATCAATAGTTTAAGCGACTTATACTCTGTAATTTTTTTTTGTTATTCAATCTAACCTGTTTACGCTTAGTTAATATTTTTACAGTGTAGCTATGTACACACATCTTTGCAGAAGTGATCAGAAAGAAAATGATGCGCTCTTTCTCGGTGTTTTCCTTTTTTAAAATTTTTTATTGCAAATTTTTAATTTCAGTGCAACATATTCATGTATCTCAGTATGTAGTTATGTACGTTAAGGGGCTCTAATGCAGCAAGGACACTCTCAAAGGTATTTTCAGACAGTTTAGCATGCGTAGTTTAATTTATTCTATGTAGTCTTTACAGATATACAAATGTATGCAGGTGTATTAGTGTTTTATCGGTGCAGTGGACATTTTCATATAAAAAGTGATTTTATACAAGAAATATACAATATCTACTTTTCTAACATTTGACTTGGACCATGGAAAGGATTTTTATATTTTTAAGGAATGTTTCTTTTCGGTAGAAATGTGGGACATTTATGGATTTATTATTATTTGTTTGAAGAGTTTAGAGTAGAAAATTTACTTATAAAATTTACTCAAATTTGCATTAAAAGTACTTTTTAATCAGGCAGCCATTTTTGAGAAAAATGCTTCAAACACTTAATTTTTTTATAAGGAATTTAGAGAAATTTTTAAAAGCATTTTGGAGACTTTTGTAAAGTGATCTTACTCCGCGATAGCTAGTTCTTGAAAAGACTTTAAATAATACTAACAAAATTGCATTCCAAGGTTAAGAAAACCAAATGTACTTAAAAATTTTTGGGCATTCCCTTTCTACAATTTTTTATATTTTCAGTAGCTTGTTACTTTGCTGACTGCGTTTAGTTTTTAAAGAAAATTTCGAATAAGCTCGTAGAGAAAACCACACTTCCCAAAAAATTGTATCGTTTAAGTTCGGGAAAATTCGCAAATTTCTTCACAACGACCTTTCGAAGTTTTGGAGACTTTTGTGGAGAGTTTTTTTTTGTTAAATTAGAAATGCTCCTTCTCTGTGTAGACTTTTGTGGAGAGTTTTTCATCTTACTTGTTTGCACTCTAAATAGGCTTGTGAATACATCCTAGCGAACTTAAGTCGAATTCTAGTAATGCTAGTTATTTTCTCTTGTAGGCTTTTTGTGGAGGGTTAAGTTTCCGTACTCAAATTTTTTTTTTTAGTTTCAGTATAAATTTCTGCTATTTGTGAAAAACAATCGTTAATTGGTGGGCGTTTCACATTTTCCAATTCATGTAATTGTGCTATTTGCTGCGAAGTCTTCACACAAAGGACTTCGTATCGCATACGATAAGTATTTGACAATAGGCTGTTGTTGTTTTTTTTGTTTTTACTTTAGCAAAGCAAATCAAAGCATTCGTTTTTCAGTCAGATTATGCAGCTTCACAAAAAAAAAAAAATCCATTTTCTGATATTGTTAGCGTGTGCCCACCACTGATTTATAGGCTTGAAGGAGACATTTTGACACATATTATTTTAAACAAAAATTTATACGGCGTATTCACGTTTTTTGGAGACTTTTATAGAGAATTTTATTTTATTTTAAAACAAGCGCTTAGACGAATTATTTATCAAAATAAAGTGTCTGGAGACTTTTGTGGACAGTTTTCTGTCCCATTTTTATGTATCTACAATGTTCACGGTTATTTCCCAATAAACTAAAGCTGAGTTTTAATGCAGTGAACCTCTTTTTTTTTTGTAGACATTTTGTGGAGACTCAATGTTTTTGGGAGGTGGGGGGTGGGGAGGTTTGCTATTTTTATGAAAATCTCGATTTTGTTCATGTTTTCTGTCCGCTATATTTAAACTTGGATTTTTAAGACGGTAGAAAATAAAGTCAACAACAGAAAATTTGCTTATATTTTCAGGGTTATTCGATCCTTTTTTCTTTTGAAACGAACAAAATGGATTTGCATTAAGTTATTTGAAGTACCTTCGTATGTATGTCGCGAACAGACGCATAAATTAGCAAATCTTTCTGAAAACTTTAAAATACTTTAGCATTCAGCGAAAAGATTTGACAATTAAAACAATTTAAATATTTTATTTTTAATATTCGGAGAAGCATTTATTTCTTAGAATTTTTCTTGGTGTTTTGGGGGTATTTATTTTTATTTTTTGCTCTGGAAAATTTTGGGGAATCTCAACATTTGTGCAGTACTTTTTAGTTATTATAGAATTGTACAGGAAATTTACACGGTAATATACAACTACGGGTCATATGCACTGGTAGCAGTAGTTAGGTAGGTAGGTAAGTAGTATTATGGCAAGACATAAGAGCACGTATACTTACATAAAAATCGTCAAGAAGTATATAGAAGAAAGTTTTGTAATTTGTTAAAAAAAAATAGCAAAATTTGCAAACCAACGCAAGTACATATGCCGCTCTGTCTTCCCATATCTAGTATACATACATATGTACATATAAGATGTATATTTCATAAGTCATACATATTTTGTTTTTATAACTTTTTTGTTCTTTTAGTTAAATTTTTTATTGCAAAAGTCGCTGTGTAGATGCATTTTTATTTGAAAATTAATTTTGTTTCTTACTACTCTTTTTTGCTTTTCCGATTTTAAACTCTCGAATTTTTTACATTTCTATTTTAATAAATTTTCAACATCATCGCATTTATTTTTCTCAATAGTGTATATACGTATATATGTATGTCGTTCGGTGTATACTTTAATCTAAAATCTTACCTGTAATAGTGTTTGAGTGCGCTAAATCACTTTGTTTTTCAATTATGGAATTTCAATATTTAATTTTATTTATTTTTTTTTTGTTAATTTACTCATTTGTATCCTTATTATTCGCTCTTTTATCCTTAACACTTTAATCGTCTAAATTCGGTAGTATCTATGCTGTTTAAAATTTAGCTAAAAAAAATTAGTTGTAACAAAAAAGTGTGCAACCGAATAGCGAGTCGTCGTTCTAAGTCTTGCTGAAGTTTTTTTTTCGTGCAAATAAATATTTTTACTTTACAGTTTTTATTCGCGTTTTTTGTTTTTCTTAAATACTCGCTCGCTACGACTCTGTTTGCTATTAAATATTTACAAGTAAGCTTTTCGTTTGCATTTTATTCGTATTTGCTTCGTTCGCCGCCACTCATTTTCATTCCCTACTTTTTTGCACTTTTTCATTTTTTTCGCAGTGCACTACGTTTTTTTTTTGCTTTGCTGGTTACTTTCTACGCTTAATTTTTCAATTTCGTTGGCATTTCAGTTTTAATTCACTTTAGCGCGTCCATCTTTACGTTCGCAATACTTCTTTCTACATTTCCTACTACATATTTAGCGATAGCTATCTATCAGTTTTGAGCGATTTCTACTCAGTTTTTTTGTTTTTTATTTTTTAGTGGGCTTTTTTTCGCTCTTCAAATTTGGCTTTTTGCTCCAATCTGCATGCATTTTTACTATTTCTTGCTTCCTTGCTATCTGTACCTGTACAATATTCTTTCAGTTCGGTGCTGCATTCTCTTCTTTTGTTGTTCTGTTTTTTTATTGTTTGTCGTTTCATCTTAAAACTTGCATGTGTGCTCTTGCTTTGCATTTATTGTAAAATGTTGTTGTTTTTTCAGCTCCTTTTTAGTGCGTTCCTTGCATCAAAAGCTACCTTGTGTTACTTCGCATGAAATGTCTTTGAGAAGGTGTATGGGTTTTTTTCGGTGTAATTTTTACTGGCATATTCCTTCCAATCTGCTATCTTTGCGTCGAAAGAGAAATAAGCGCTGAAAGTAGGTATAGAAAAAGAAAATGTAATGTATAGAATCTTAACTTATGATGAAAAGTTTTTGCTGAGAAAAAAAATTAAAATGATTTTTTTTTAAATTGGGAGCAATCTGCATTATTCTCTATTTTTTTCAAATTTAAAAGTTTTTAAATTTTTAAGACTTTTTTAGAAGATATTTTTGCTTTCAAATTATTTTGGAAATGTAGATGTGGAGACTTTCGTGGAGGCTTTCTTTTAAAGATTTACAGTACTGTTGAGCATAAGAAATTTTTATTAGCAAAGCACGCGCATTGGTCATATTTTTGGAGACTTTTTTTGGAGATTTTTTTCCAAAATTTTTTTTTTGTATATATATTTTTTTGTATTTTCGAATACTTTGCTTCTTCATTATTCATTAAAGAGTTTTGGAATACAAAAGCTACAAGTAAATATGGAGAATTTCCAAAACCTAATTTGAAATATACAAGGGGACTCTCCCAGGTTTGCAAAGAAGGAAAGACATCATCGGAACTACATATATAAAGGTTTGCAGGAAACAAAATTTGGTTAGGGTGTGCCCTGACTTCGGGATATTATTCAGTAGTTCTAATAGCGTTTCCTTTTCTCCAAAAAATTTTCGCCCGTTTATATGGGAACTCGCGATATGGAAAATAATTCTACTTTTACAAGCGTAAATTAAAAACGAACCATACAACTCTCACCCGCACTTTTATTCGAGAGCAGAAAAGGCAGCACTTTTGCCGGATCAGAGTGCAATCTGCTGAGAAAAGAACACATGTAAATTTTCCAGCGCTACCACGGGGCAGATAAAATGCAGGTAGTTAAAGGAAATATTCCTGTGTCCTTCTGGCAATGGGCTTGTAATTTCCCCTTTTACCGGCTCTTGATGTTCGTCATGGCATCAGATCATGGTGCGGAGAGGGAACTGTAAGGGTCTAGAGCTATGGAATTTCCTGAGCGATCTAAGCTTACGCGGTTTGCATACTGGAAGCCCTGCGCCAAAAGATTTCCGATGCTGCATCCTGCCCTCGTCGGTGTAATCGAATAAAACCCTTCCCACGGGGACAAAAAGGTTATTGTCATCATTGGATAATTAACTAACGACCATCTGAGCTGTAGCTAAATGGCATCTGGTTGAGGCCCTGAGGAATTAAGTTGCACGATAGTAGGGTAGTTTGTGCTACCAGTGAAGTGTCCAGCGAAAAGCAGCCCCCACAAAAGTCTAAGTCAGGAATATGTTTGCATTACGGGAGCAATGCCCACCTTTATAGCGTAAGTGCTGGAGGAGATTACAAAGCCTTGGCCTCTGAACTTAATTACAGAGCAGTTAACAAACCGAACTCTAGCAAGAAGCGTTATTGGCAATGGAAAGATCGCAACATACAGATATGTGGAGAAATCGGGCCTGTAGCTCATGCTAGCGCTATCTACCAGAACCAAAATACAGCAGAGCACTTGCGGGCAGGCCATTGACGGTCTAACTGAAAGCCGCTGAATCAATTTTTAAGATAATTAATTCTCAAGCCTTTTTTTATTCTACGAGATGCATTGCTAAATAAAGAAGATATGGCATTTTTAATTAGGAATACTTAAATTGCCCTACCCTGCGTTTGACACGTTTAGACTCTGCAATGTCATATAGATGGCTCGTCAAATCCCGAGGGCATAGGAGCAGGCGTCGATGGCTGAATCACTAGCATATTGTCTATGTGCGGAGATAAGTCCGAGCAGGAACTATCACAACAGGAGAATTGTATTCATCGGTGATGGCTAGCCGACTCTCAAGACTTTTGCATATTTCGATGGCACATCATTGCTTTCTTTGGGGTACATAACTTCACACTTTTGGCCATGAAAGTGGCGATCACAGAACCATTTAGATCTGATCTCTACCTGACATTAGCTTCAAATACGTTTAAAGGAGAAGAAGGAGTGAAGGGAAACAATAAAGGCATCCAGCAGGATTGCGCCAGGCAAAATATGCTTTCTTGGTTGATATAGTTTTAAGAGATGTCAAACTCAATTCAAACTCTCAAAGGAGAAATTAGGAATCGTCAGGACACCGTAGACTTAAACTAGGAATTTAGTAAAAAGTTCCGTGTCGCTGCATTACATCATCTAGTCGAATACGATGCTTTTTCCAGGATACACGCAGTGCACACCTCAATTTAATTTCTGTCGGATCTTGACAAGGGAACCAGAAACCTAAATTCTTCTTTCTTTGAATAGAAAACTGCTATGCTGATGCGACCTTAGTGTTCTTAAACATATAAAAAATAATCAATACAACAATTAAGCTGTTGGCTTACCTCAAATCCATTGATTTTCTATCAATGATACCACAGCCTATTTGCTTTTTGTTGTTGTATTTGTAATTGTTGTTGTTGTAGTTGAGTTGTTCGTAAACCATTTGACGTTGCTACTGCGGTCGGTGCTTCAGCTATTGGCGTCGTTGCTCTGCCTGTTGTTGTAGTTTTAGTTGCAGACGGTGTTGCCGAGTTATCACTGCTATTATCGTCTTCCGCCATTGTACTTGTGCCAACTAATTGCTTATCCACGGCCGTGGGTGTTGTTACTGCCGGTGGCGTAGTAGGTGTCAGCCCGAGCGATGGCTCCGTTTGCAAGGAGTTACGTTGAGTGAACTCACCACTGCTTCTGTCGCCACCCTCACGATGTGACGCTGAGCCATTAACTGCTCCTGCTGCTGTCGCTGTTACTGTTGCTGCTGCTGTTGCTGTGGCTGTGGCTGTGGCTTCTGGCGCGCCGGTGGGCGCTGACGATAGCCGCAAAACACGTAACTGATGACGTGGCGGTGGCGGTGGATGATAGTATGATTGTGACAATTGTTGTCGCTGCTGTTCGCGCTTGTTGTGCTGCGGTTGTTGTTGTTGTTGTTGTTGTTGCTGTTGATAGTAGGCGTGTTGCGGCTGCAGATGCGGATGCGGATGCGGCGATTTGCGATGCGGATGCAACTGACAGCTTCCAACACTGCTGCTACTCAAGCTAATGTTGTTATTATGATTGTTGTTGTTATTAATATTGCTGCTATTGTTGTTATTGTGCTGATGGTGATGATGCTGCTGGCCAACACCAACCCCACCGCTTTTCATATTCAACAGCGTTAGACTATATTTGGGTTTCGTTGTTGCTGACGTTGTGCCGGCGAGACGCAGGTGTTGTTGCTGTTGTTGCTGTTTCAGCTGCAGTTGCTGCTGTTTCTTCGGCATTGTGCTTATCGAGCCATTACGCATATATTTCTGACCCACCACCACACTACCACTAACACAATCTAATCTATTGCCACCCGTTACCATGTCACATACACCCCCGCCACTCAGCCCACCAACCTCGGCGTCGTCATTGTCAACATTCACGCCGCCACCCCCTAGGCCGCCAACACCGCCGCGCAACGTCAATGTTTCAAACTAGAGATTGTCTGGATAGCTGCGGAAGTTGTAGGTTCTGGCGCGCTGGAATTGCATCGAGTCGATGCCAACACCACCGACGCCACCACCACCACCACCACCACCTCCACTGCCTACTCCGCCATTATAGGCATTCAACATCGGCGCCGTTGACTGTGAATTCATGGTGCCCATGCCATCGTCGTAGTTATTGTGTTCACTGCTGCTGCTAATGCCACTATTGCTGCTACATTTGCCACCACTGCTGCCGGATTTGTGTGTGCTGCTGCTGCCGCCACCGCCGCTATTGCTGCCCATAGTGCCACAGTTGCTGCCGCCACCCGAAGGGCCTTTGATTGGCTTGAATATCGCTGTGGTGGCATAGTACTTTTCCATCGGTGGAGGCGGCACGGAAGGTGGTCTCGGAAAGATGGCACTCAGTGGTGGCGGTGGAGTGCGACGCACATTCACATAGCCACCAACGACACCGCCGCCGGCCATGGACATCTTCGTGGCAGGCATGTAATCCTGCATGTGTGGCACGGCGTAGCCGCCTTCGGGGACGTCTGAAAAGATGGAAGGAAATTAGGTGAGACGGTGAAGGCAAAGTAAAGAAGGGAAGACCGGAAGGGGATTGGAGAAAAGAGTAAATGAATAAATAGTGCTATGTTTATTTAAAATATTTGCCTATGTATACTTATGTATGTCAGAGGATCTCTTTTTATAGAAAGATGAGTTGGAAAAGGGACCGTAATTTATTTGACACCTAATCATTTGTCAGACTGTCACTCAAAGTGGTACAGGACAATTTTCGCTTCTAAAGTCAACTGTTCACGTGAGTTAATGTTCGGTTGTTTTGTTGCGGGGATTAATATCATTTGGGTTCCCCCTGACAGAGATATAGAGGGATACTGAATGGCGGATGAACTTGAGCGGATGCATGACCAAGCTGGTTCTTAGCGGAAAAGAACGCATTGCTATGTATTTTGCCACTTGCAAAGCTATTTGCGAAAGAAACAGCCTATGCTTAAGCAAATAGCGCTGGAGCCGTAAAAGGGAATTCGACTTTTGGTATTTACTGGAAGAAATACCGAAAGCTTTTTTCTTTTATTTTTTAGGCTTAATTTGGTTTTGTAGATAATTTTTGAAAGCAAAACGATTATTAATTTTGATTTTAAAAGCTTCCTTCAACAAAATATCAAAAGTCACGAAAAAGCTTGGCAGATCCCGAAGAATATGAATAAAATCAAAAGAGTACCGAAGAAAACCTCGAAAAAAGTACAAACATTTTCAGAAAGTAATCGAAAATTTTGAAAAGTTACCAAACTATTCCCTGAGGGTAACGAAAAACCCCGAAAAAATATAAGAGTCTCCAGAAAAATGCTGAAGGACACCAAAAAATGTCGAACGGTGTAATAGAAACCCGACAACTTACCGATCATTACAGTTTTATAAAAAAAAATATGTATATAGGCGAAAATTTTTTTAAATGAATGCCCAAAGCTGCGAAAAATCACAACAAGTTACGAAAAATATCCAAAAAGTACAAAAATTATCGAAAAATTTGTAAAACGATCATTAAATTCCCGAAAGATCGCTGCACATCTCAAAAGAACCCGAAGAGTACAAAAAAAAAAACCAGAACATTCCAAGAGGTACCGAAAAAATTTTTAGGTATAGATACTGAAAAGTCTCGACGAAACCCGAAGTTTTGTGGATTATTGTTTTTTTTATCAATTAGAAAAAATATCAATAATTTTCTGCTCAGAAATTTTCGGTGAAAAAATTTTCGCTTTATTTTTTATGCACTCAAAAGCAAATTTAGGATTCTTGAACTAAAGATTTGCAAATATTCTTGAAAATTTTTAAATAAAAAATACCAATACGCACGAAAAATTAGAACTAGATTACGAAAAACATCAATGATATTAAAAAAGTTTAACAAAGAAACGATTGTTTCGTACTCAAAGAATTATTATTTTAATTTCGCTAAATCTAAACCTATATATATTTTTCCCCAATTAAATTATTAAAGTTAAAAATTAAAAAAAAAAAAGTAATAATGTCCAAAAATTTCGGACAGGATTCTAGAACATGCTAAAAAATATCTAAGGATATCGATAACCAAAATCTGAATGAAAACCGAGAAGTTTCGAAAAGTTTCGAAAAAATACGAAAATTTACGCATCATTTTGGATTTTATCAATTAGAAAAAAGTATCGGTTATTTTATACTCAAATTGCAAAATACGAATATATTTTTTACTGAAAATTTTGAAATTTTTTATTTTTAATTTTTTTTTTATTTAGAAATCTTATTCAAGAAAGTAAAAAGATACTAATGTTACTCGGAAAAAAGTGGTAGAATGTACTTTTTTATCCAAAAAATATTTTTATTTACAGTGTATTATAGCCAGTATTACGATTGCGGCAGTTTCGTTTCTTGTTCCAGAAGTATTATAAGGAAGGAAGATACCTAAATTTTTTGTTTAATTAGACCCCAAAGTTCTGACGTTCAAAATTCAGCTACATTTTTGCGAGAGACTATCAATTTGTCTTACCATAAAATATTCGATATTTTTAAATTTAAATTAAAAATTATTATTTTTTAAATTCGAGTGATTTTCAATGCATTTCGAAATAAGTTTCAATAATCTTTAAACTTGAACTTTTCCCTATTCTTTGTTTTGCATTACTTCGAGAGCCCTTTAAACATACCATAACTCTTACCCATACCCATACACATATACTTGTTCATATAAGCATATTATACATAAAACAGCCAACACCTTATTAACGCACTTTGCGGCTTCCCAATTTGGAGCGTGCCAAACATTACTTTTGCCACCCTTTATTTTATGCCAACTCATACACTTTATTCATTTCATTACTTCCTACACTTTACTTTACTTCAATTTCAACCTGCAGTCATTTTGCCCTTTAGCCCTTTTTTGGCTGCCAATACATTTCAGTAAACCCCTATCCCATTTTTTGACCAATTATTACTCCAGCAACTCAACCGACCAAGCAACCCAATTGCGGTTGATGTGGTTCTACGATTTTACTTACAATTTTGTAATGCCTTCGCCTTTTAGTTTATGACTGTCATATTTACTTGTGCAAATATCATATGTACATATGTACGCGTGTATATATGTATGCAAGGGTGTACTTTTGTTCTTAGTTTTATTATTTATGTAAGCTCTTTGTTGTTGTAGGTACATACCTGTATAGTCTGGCGTCATATTACATTGTAAATCATTTACGGCCGCATATCCGTTAACACCGCTCGTATACATATTCACATTGAATGGCTCATGATAGAGACTATTCTTGCCGATGGAATCATTATCGTCGACGCTAGCCTGTGTTGAAAGGAGAGACAGCGAAATGAAGGAATTAATAAAGATGACGTAAAACAATAGAGTATTTGCATAAAAGGTTTATATTGTTAATGTAGGTATGTACATACATATGTGTGTATGTATGTGTATGATGAAAAGTTAAAACTATACAAGGTAGAATACTAAGAATGAGAATCGAGTGGTGAGAGTTATTATGGTATCATAGAATCAATTTAAACTTTTTCAAGGAAACCAAAATTTGAAATGAGTCGGAAAGATCTACGCGTACACTTGTATAAAATATGTACAGTATTGGCCAATACAATAGCACCCCCAATTCAAAGTGATATTGTTTTCCACTCATGTTTATTTATTTATTTTTAGGAATTTTCAATTAAAATTCAGTTCATTCTCTCACAAAACCCATATAAACTCAAGTTTAAAGCTTTGTAAAAACCTACGAAAAAATTCAACAAATTTTCACCCCAATTTGTAACTTTTTTCTCCGAGGTGTTAGTATTTTTTTGAGTACGCAGTTTTATAGCCCATTCAATTTTAGTCTAACAAAGTGCAAATTTCAAGTGGATAAAAATTACCGTTGATTTTTTATAATTTTTTTCGCCGAAGGTGTTGCGGGTTTCTTCCATATAAAAATACATTCGGTTTATTCGTTATATGGAAGCAAGTTCGACAAAAAACGAATGGACAGCTCCGCCAATTACGGCAGCGTGTATCAAAACCGCAATCAAAAAATGAAATTAGATCGCGTGGGCATAATTCATTTTGAAAAGTGAAATTAGGCCGTGAAAAAAAATTAAAATTGGCGGCCAAAGAAATAAGAAGGTTACCTTTATTCACGCGCTCTTAATTCCATCCACCTTAAATCAAGGAATCCATAGTAGTCCGATTAATTAGTAATCGCACTGCACATCTTCCAGGTAGAGCGTTTGGCCACAAAAAGGCGGCGGAGTTAATGCGAAGTAACCGGACCAATAGCCGAGTAAAGTGACTCTCTATTGACAGTCAGGCTTCAAAAAGGGTATTAACAGGTCTATTCTGCGCTGGTAACATACATTTTGTAACCGGTAATTAAAGTGTCTGTCAATTTGTAAACCTTTTTCGCATTCTGTACTCTCTTGTAACCGTTAAATTTGGTTACCATCTCATAAGCTAGTAACAAAATATTGTCCCGTGAAATATGCAATACATGAATTTCCACAAATCTTCATAGCTGAATTGCTGAATATTTTCACTGCATCACCAACGTACCTAGAATCGCGGTAAAAAGAAATGGTAACATTTTTTGGTAATAAAATTTTCCGGTCACAAAATCTTCGGTAACGTGCAGAATAGACCTGTAACGCACAAAACTTTCTAAAGAAGTGCGCTATAGTGTAGAAAAGCTTTGCCTAATTATACGCCGATATGGAAGGACAGCTGAACTGGGTTCCTGTGCACAGAGGCAACATTGACCACGAGCAGACAAACTGACCAAGAAATGCCCCCAATCGTCAGACGCACGAACGGAAACACTTATACCTCATACATATAGTCAGAGTCAAAAATATGCATTCCCTTCAATTTTTCAATTCGATTTCTTAGAACATTCCCAGCATGCAGTTTTGTAACAAGCTTAAAGCTGCTTTTAAGCCTCTAAATTCGGACTGAAAATGAGATGTCAATCATATCAGAAATATCATTAATACGACTCTTGGGAACCGTTGGTGTAATACTGGCACCAGAAAAACCACAAATAATTTCTTGATATGGTCAGACAGTGGGATGGGGAAACTTCTTGTCTGAGAGGGTAGGAGGACGCCTTGATAGATGTGATTACATGAGACAATTAAAGGAGTTGATATTGTCGGCACATGCATCATAGACGATACACTGTGTAGATAAAGCTTGCTTGCGGTATGAGCATAGTACAGAGCATTTTCTTTGAAGCTCTCCGGTCTGCGCCGGACTCACATGGTCGGATGTATGGGAATGGACGAGCTACATTTTCTTTTCCTTCATAAAATTCTAAGATTCATAAAAGAGTCTGATAAGTTGTAAGTTTGCGGAGAAATATTGGCAACCTATGTCTATCTGTTTTTAGCTATCCTCTTAATTCTTCCGCTGGGCCTTAAGTACACTGCGAAATTGTCGGTAGAGCAATGGAGTACCTCTAGCATCTGCTGCTTAGCAGCAGCAAGAAAAATACAACCGAAATTACTGCTGTTCAAAAGCAACATACATACATTCACCTTCTGCTACCACTGAACCGCGATTAGGCTTTATAAGATAATTCAGACGAGACGACAACTTTCAGACAAACTACAAATATGCCTCCTTCTACTCTATTTATTTATTCGCTAGAAAGAAGCAAATCCGAGAAATTTCTAAATTTTGTTCCATTTTCTGCCGCAAGTTCTCGAAACTGGCACATAGTACGTACACCTGTTATCGCTTTGAATCAAAGTAGCTTTAAATAATCGCTTCAACTATTTCTATTCGTCATAAATTCACACAATTCTTCTTTTTCCTACTTTATTTTTTACTCAGCCACATATTTCCATTGGTCACATTTTTTCTTTGGCTTAAATACCGCCATTAACTAACTTGGACTTTTGAAGTTAATGCAGAGTATACATAATCCTGCGAGCTAAGCTTAAGTAGTACAACATGGGACTTGAGCAGCAAAAAATGACACTATAAAGCCACTAAAATGCATTAAAGTACAAAAGAAACTATTTGCTGCGTAACGCTAAAATGGAAGAGGGTAAAATGCGCGCGCCGTATTGTTGCTATATAGCTCACTAAAAGCACACTACATACTAGTTAATAGCACAGCAGAAGTGCCAATAAAGAAAATAGAGCGCATAGAAATAAAATAGCGCATGAAGCCATATAAACTGGCACAGCAGTGGAAGTAAAAGTATAAGTATGGAAAAAATGTTAGCGAAAGGCCAACTAAATTGTAGTTGAATAAAATGGAAGTAAAAAAAAAAAAAAAAAGTTTGCTACTCAAATAAAATAAAGTGGAGGACATGTAAACACATAAATGAACAGTCCGGCATACCTAAGTATGTAGGGATGTACGTATGCACAATAGGGATTTATATTATTACTATTTTACATTAGGGTGCCTCACCGAAAAAGTTGCAGATTTGGCACTGGAACTATAAGATCTATTATAATTTAAAACTTCGGCGAAATTTTTTCGGGATTTATAAATAAAATTAGATTTTTTAAACATTGTTTCTAATCTCATTTTAGATGATAGAAGAGTCTAAGCTTAAAAGGTCTGCATTAAATATTTAAAAATCTTATAAACGGAATTAAAATACTATGGATTTTGGTCTCAAAATATACATAATAAATCGTATATGATAAAAAATCGTATATTTTTTCTGGTGAGGCACACTAATGTGCAATAGTGAGCCTACATTTTTTGTTTCGTTTTCTTACCGCAGTGTTTCTAACAATCTACGCAATTGATGTTAGATTAAATGAAACTATATATTTAGGTCTCCAGGATGATAATTCGCTATCCGTACTTTCGGTTCCTAAACTAATTATAAAAAATATTCATATTTTGTTCTATGTATATACAGACAGTAGGTCGGTGTACACTTCCGAATCTAAATTTTTTTCCCAGGCAATTTTGAATTTTTTTACGATCGTTTTTTTTATTTTACAAGTTTTTATTTTCTCATATCTTTGGCATTAAGAGTCGAAAATTAGAGTAAGATATATACATTTCCTTGTCTCGAAAAGAAAATTTTTGTGAATCATTAACCGCAAGTGCCCGCTTCTAGTATTTACACACCTAATGTCAGTTAATTTAAGATTGCGAAATATCAGTCAACTTTTGCTAAAAACGTGTTTCGATTTCAAGTCAATTTCGAACTTTAACCTCAAGTACCACATTCCAGTACATCACCGTAATCACCCATCATCCATGGATAGTTCCATCCATGCCATCGAAAGGCACGTGGAGAGGTTAGGGGTTCCCCATAATGACTGCTGTAGAAGCTGCTGAAATAAAAGAGAGCCTGAAACCTTGCGGCACCAATTGTGCGAATGCCCCGGGTTCTGTAGAAGAAAACGAAAGTTTATGAGTTCAGTTTTTCGAGGGTTTCACCGGCAAAGTCAAAGCAGGAATAGGCCAACTTTTAGATTTCGCAGACTCGACACGTTGGTTGAGGTGGGAGGGTTCCCACAATTCGCGTAGTATCAGCCACTTCAATCTAACCTAACCTAACATTTCGGCCTACGTAAAATTCAAAATAAAATAAAATTAAAAAAAAACGCGTAATTCTGATTTTATTTATTTTTTATTTATGTAAAATATCGCAAATTTTGATACCTCTTGCGTTAGTGAAACTCAAACATTTTTTTTCCCATAAATGGGGGGACACCCTAATATAATAGGTAAACATGTACGAGTATATAATAAAACTATAAACCAGTTTGTATGTCATCAATGTGCATTCATTGTCTTTACTGTTTTTAGCTACTCACCTTAATGCCACCGCCATTTGGTCGATGCTTATCCACATTGCCGCCCAGCGTATTCGGATTGAAGCTATATTGGAATGCGTCGAGGACATTGCTGCCGCGTGCACGCTTCGTACGCGTCACAATACAGAATATGGCGCCAACGAGAAAAATAATTATCACCGTTAGAATAACAATAACAATACCAATTGAGAATTTCTCAGATGGTTCCTGATCGATGGGACGTGGGGCAATTACTGTGTGGAATAGAAAGGAAAATAATACGAAATGAAATAAATGTATGTATGTATGTATGTATGTGTACGTGTAGGTGGATAGTAAATGGCAGCCATGTGGTTCAAGGCAGTGTACTACAACACACTTACACACAACATACCCATAAAAACTCATACAAGTATTTGTACTACACAAAGTGTTAGTTGCATATGCAATTTTGCACCACCCTTTCATGCATTAAATTAAAGATAAATATTTAAAGGGAAAATAATGTTTTCAATTATTTGCCAAGCGCGCGCACATAATTGTTAAATGCAACTACTTTTTGCTGTTGCTTTTATTCGTTTTATCGTTGTCCTCTTGCAAAACAATCCTCCTCATTTACGTTTTTTTTTTGTGTGCTTCTTTTCTGCCATTAACTACCCGCTTACTGCTAATTTTTATACCACCTTGCCATTTTTACATAATTTCAGTGTCACTTACATTGTGGCCCGTTATTGTAGCCGAGGCCAGCGCCACCAGCGGCGCCTGCCGCCGCACCTAGGCCATCACCCATACCATTCATGCCGCCATTCATAGTGCCCATTTTGCCCATGCCATTCTTTTGACCGTGATGATAGTCATTACTTTGTAATGGATATTCGCGTGTATCCTGTGGCAATGTGGCGCGTTGCTCGGACTCATCTGTAAAATTTCCCACGGCCGGCACTGTAAGCAAAAAAGAGTGAAATAAAAGTGTTAAATTGGTTATGGGCTGTGTGGGTGGAATTAAAAAGTATAAAATGGAAGTGGATAAATACATACATGAGTAGCATATTATTATTTGTTATAGCTATGCAATTACCTTACAAATTTAATAAAATTATATTGCACTTAATATTTATTACTGATAGTTTATAAAGAAAGTGCTGATATGATTATACTTCTGTCAGCACATTTTTACCTCGTTATCGCGTCTGACCATCAGGTCATACGCACCTTAGCCAGGGATGGCCAGCCGATATTGCAAAACAAATGGGGGCATAACGTAAGTTAAAAAAACGAAGTTTCACACATTAACTCTACAAAAATGAGAAAAATAGTCCCCATTCCTTATACATACATTGAAAATTGGGCTAAAGCAAGCCGGCAATATATTTTGCTATTTTCACCAAGAACGACTGGCTCAAGTGGAGGTGATTTTTCAAGGACTTTCAACTAAAACAAGACGTGAGGTCACCATAATTTAAAAGGCGAGCAATTTCACGATACACAGAAGTGAGCTGAAATTTACTGACATTTTTTTTGACTGGATGGTTACACTCAAATTTTTGCTCCCTGTAGATCACTGTATCTTTGCTGATAACAAAAATCAGCTGGGATGTATAGCCTTATTCCCACGCCAATGACAAAACTCATGGCATAACAATTGTCTTATCTACTATGCGGCAAAAAACTCGATTATAAGCGCTGTGCTCATTCTTATGACCTACTGAGTACGTGGTAACAACGAAGCAATGCTTAAAGGTCAGACTGTAGTCATGCAATATCGTGGGAATAGGACTTGAAATTGGGGATATCACAATTATAGTTAGTTAGTTAGAAGTTGTGACAAAATTTTATAATATTGTTGCATCTTACTAACAATTTTAGGACCAAGCGTTAATATTTTACTAATAAGTAAATTTTAGTAGTTTTATATTTGCTGCTTTTAAAAAATGGAAAAGTTAAAAAAGTAGTTAATCATCTATTTAAATTTGATACTTTTAGAAGAAATATGTGAACCCAAAATCGAAAAAAAAATACTAAACAATAGAAGCAAAGATTTGTTGGACAAAAAATAATTTTTGTAGTAAACATTGTTTCTACATAAGAATTTTTTTAATCTAAATTTTTTATAAAAAAAAAGCTTTTCCGATCTTTTTTAATAAATTTTCTTTTAAGAGAATTATCTACAAAAAATAACTCAAGAAAAAATCTTTTCTTAAGAGAAATATATATGTTAATCAATATTAAAAAAAAATACGAAACATTTTTGCGCTAAAAATTATTCTTTCAAGAAAAATTATTATTGGTAAGAAAATTAAAAATAAAAGGATAACCAGGCGTTTGTAGGAAATGCTATTTATAAAAATTTTTTAGATTTTTATGAAAAGAAAATATTTACGACAATGGCATATTTTTTAATGAAATTTTAGAAAAAAGGATTTGTATCACAATAAGAAGAATTGATCTAAATCTACAAGAATTTTATTTAGTTCTCTCCTTGAATAACAATTGGCAATTGAAATCGCGCGGGTTTTGTTAACTGTACATATGCAGGCTTATGGACTTGAGTTGGTAAAAAAACAAAATTAACCATTTTTGAGAAAATAAATTTTGAAAAAAGCCCTTATATTATGACTTCTTTGAAAGAATTAAGATTTAGATAAATTTTATTTAGATAAAAAATTGAAAAAAATTTGTTTTTAATTGAAATAAATCAAAATTTTGGGAGAAATTGCCAAAGATGAAACACTCACCTAAACTTACCTTACCACAACTCACTCCAACTGACCTCAAAACAACCCTGCAAGAACAGTGACTATCATTTGACAAATCATTTGAGTGGCAAGGCTGATAGAGATTTCTGTCACTGGCTACCTACAAGTTTCTATCACATTCTAAAGGGCAGTGTGAAACATCTGATGTAAACATTTATGTACATATGATCTTCCGTCTTCCTCCAACTTATATATTGGTCTCTTTTTAACCAACGAAAAATTTGCAAATGGGTTAGTAAGGTAAATGAGAATGTGTTAGTTTCTATCACACAATTCTTGTAGCGAACTTATCACATACAAACTCACCACACATGAACTAAAATTACCACACCTGAAGCTACCACACCGAAATTCACACAATTGAACTCATCACACCCGTTCTCATCGATCGATTTTATTATCGTTATACGTATTTATTGATTTTTCAATCGATATATTTATCATTACTTTCATCACTATATTAAACAATTTTTATTGAGTTTGAGGGCGTTTTACACGAAAATTAATGTGGAAAAATATGTTATCGATATATTTATCGATATTTTTTTCGTTATTTTTATTATTATATTTACTTGCAACAATCGAACTTTCCCTTCTGGAACATCAGTATGTGAATGATCATTTTCGGCTTTGAAAAGAATTATGCGACCTCAACATATTAGAATGTCGACTGATAAATTTATTAAATAAGTTATCGTTCCTAACATTCGAACACAAGCGACTTATTCCTTTAGACCTGGACAACGTTCTTGTAATATTTAATGCACTAAAAATCGCAAATAGCAATGATTAAAAAAAAATATATATATTAAATGTTTTTGTTTAACAAAAAATAAACTGTGAACGCAGTATAAACAAAGCAAATAGTTTTGTTTATCGATTTTGTTTTCAATTGACCTTTAATATTTTTCTTTTTGTTCTAAAATCTATTTCATATACATATGTATGAGAAAACACGTGGCGGGTAAAGGCCCTCCAGGTTCCTGGGTTGCTACGGCCCTGATGTATATAAGGCAACTCTAGCTAGTGGATAGCGTAACCGCTTAGCATTCATTTAATTCAATTCATAAAAAGGTTATTTAAATGCTGACGTTTAAAAAGTTTGCGGTCATTAAGGACTTAAATTGTATATTAAGGAATGGAAAAGTTGGTAATTTCATGCAATTATGCAGACATACATACATACATGAACAAATGATCACTATATGCATACATACATGCATGAATGTATTATTGCGTGTATGTGCATTTATCCTTAGATCCAATTAGAAATATCAAAAAGCATTTGCCAACTCCTGTGAAGCAATGAAAAGCAGACATTCGTGAAGTGAATTGTCATTTCAAAAGTGAAATAGACAAAACCATTTGGGACAATTTGAGACAACACTTGAGGCAATTACCGCTCAACAAATTGTCACGCACAACAAACACAAGCCAGGACATAAGCAATTGCTGCTGGAGGTTATTGTTTAGGAAAGGCAAAAGCAGCTGCCGGTCTTGGCTGCTGCTGCGGGTTACGTTTACCCATTGCGACTTCATTGTTTGGCAAATAATAAAGGATGTCAAAGGATGTGAATGCAGTAGCCGAAAAGGGGAATATACCACCACAACGCTATTGTGGTGAGGAGCATGGAAATAAATGAAAGTAAATAATAAGCAGTACGACGCAATTGCCAAAAATAAACACTTGAAAATTTTCTAGTAGTCAAAAGAAAACAATAAATAGAATAATGCAAAACAAATGCATGCAAAGAGCGAAAAAAATAGGCTGAGAAATAAGTAAATTACAAAATAAACAAAGAAGTAAGATAAACAATGCATTCAAGTGGCTGCAGAGGTGAAAAGATGGTAACGCTGTGGTACGAACGCACAAAAGCTACCCCATATTGCCATAAAAAGGTATTTCTACGCAATGCAGTGGAGTGAGTTGTTGAAAAATTTAAGTGCGCGCATGAATAAATAATTCTGTGAAATCCATGTGACGCAATTGCAAATCACAAATGCTATCAATACACCTTTGTTATTTACTATTATTTTTTTATTTTTTTTTGCTTCCTGGGAAAGCAGCACAGTTAATCGCGCGCGCATAAAAGGATGCAAAGGCAGTACGCACAGTTGACTGCAGACAGCAGCAGTTTAGCGCGATTTCGTCGTATCGCAGCAGGGGGCCGCAACCGCAGCGCTTGTGAGTACAAAAGCCAAAAGCAAGGTAAATTAGTAGTTATGAGAGTAGACGCAGCGAAAAAAAAACGCAATGAGTTAAGCAAAAAGTAAATAAAAAAAAAGAATCAGTTGGAAAAAAGTGAAAAAATTCATATAAAAGCGAACACAAAGCGCGTCGCACGTTAAATAGACGCACGCACTTTGACAAACAAAAACGGAAAAAATCCAAAAAAATGAAAGAAGCTGCATAACAAAGCAACAGCGAAAAAAAAATAGGTGGAAACCGCAGCACTAAAAAAGTAAAACTACATACGCACATTGAACAGCATACGCGCAGCGGACAGCAAATCACAGCGTCCTTTTGTTGTGGTTTGGCAGCGATATAAAGGCGAAGGATGTACAGCTGTTAAAAAAGGATATGCTTCATATATACCTACTTCAGCATTCTATGTACCATACAAATTGTTGCTGCTCATGCGCATACGAGGGGCGGTCGAAACGTTTGCGTAATCCAGCTCTATGCAATACACAACTCACCAAATACGATGTTTTAGTCAAATCGGTGAGAAGGCATCATCATAATAAAACTTCTGAACCACAACTCATTTTGTTTCCCTCGGTCTTTCTAAATATTGCCGCATTATATAGCAGAGCTAAACGCCATAATGGAGGACGCTCTGAGGCTCGCACTCGACTCCGCCACTCCAGGACGGCCTATCGCAATTTATTCTGACAGCCAGCCTGTTTATCTAACCTAACCTATAGAAGATAGCATGACGGAGTATTAGTCAGAGCTTACAATCGCTTCTGGTCACTGGGCGACCGGACGAAGCACGCTACCGAGTAAATTCCGTTCAGTGACGCTTTGCTGCACCTCAGACCCAAAGGGCGGAAACCGAGCTATTTTAGATTGTAATTTACTCTGTATCATTCAGTGGACAAACTGCTTAAAATCAGTGCAACACTTTTTTCCAGTGTCGGATTTCAAGGAAAATTACTTAGATAGATAGATCTGTTGTTCAG